TAGGCCAGTAAAATAAGAAAAGTCTCAGACCACATGTAATTGTTGGCCGAGGCGAAGCCGAGGTCAACAAACATGTGATCTGAGGTTTTCTTTTTTACTTCCCAAGAGCCGTATAATATTTTATTGACAGGTGTATTTGATGCCTGCCCCCCCGACCAGCAGCACTCGCTTCGCTCGTGCCGCAAATGTCGGGGGCAGGCATCAATTTTTTTCAACGCAATTTTTAACGTACTTTCGACCGCATAGCAAGAAAAATAGTATACACTACATGGGCAGAAATTTGAGAGCCCTGAACTGCGTGCCATGATGCCCTCGGCTTCGCCTCGGGCACATGGCGCGCAGTGCAGGAATCTCAACTTTCTGCCCTTGTAGTGTAATATACTATTTCATTCTTTAAAAATTGATTTTTTTATCCTACAGAGCTCTGATAAAAAATCCAAACTCTGACCTTGTATGAATACTGGTCAAACATCCTGCAGACGTCAAGATCACCACCAAGCATCGCATATTCCGAATCCATGGTCTCGTGTCCTCGCTTCTTCTTCTCGCCGCCTAAAATTCAGCTCTTGTCAATTAAGAAGCTTCTGTTTTCCTTTTTTTTTTTTTTAAATAATTATCTATCTTATTTTTAAATTTAATATTTTTCTACCACGCACCACTTGAACTCGTACCGAATAAACTTATTGCGATAGCACCGACAATTCCGTCGCTCATTGTACACCTCCGGGTGTTATTACCATCAAAGCTTCAGTGTTATCGTTTCTTATTTTTATAATCATTAAACCTTGCCTTCAATTAATATCCAATCATTTATTCACTGTAAATATTCTCAAATTTATTTATTAAATACTCACTTATATAGAGTTAAGATAAAAATATTCCTAATTAATACAAATTACACTAAAAGTCTAAAACTATAAAAAAAAATCTCTTTATTTTAATTCCACTCTTGTCGGTTTATTTTTCACCAATCGACTCCTTCAATCAACACTTGTCACTACAATTATCAATTAACAATTAGTGTGATTAGAAAATAATAAAAAAAAAAATATCTAAAGCTTAAAAAAATCCCTTGGAGATTTAAACGTCTCGCGAGTTGCGAATAAAAACAAAAAATGGCACACGGTTGAAATAAAAAAATAAGAATATGGCGTCCTTCGATTTCAAACGAATAGATCCGATTATTCCCGATTCAGTAGTCTCTTTATATATTATTCAACTTTTTGCGTAATCGTTTGTTACCGGAAATGAATATTAAAAAAATAGATTTTAATTCTATTCAAAATATCTACGATTAAAAATTCAATACTAAGTTAAGCCGTACTAAATTTTATTTAAAACTATTTTAATAATTAAATCCACCTTAAAAAAAACTAAAAAATTTTTACTACCGGCAAATATTTTCAAGGTAATATTTCAATCCTTTATTGTCACTAAAAATAATTTTTTTACAGTTAAACAGAGAATGTAAATCAGAAATAAAGGAATAAAAATTTGAAATAAAAGTTTAATCAAGCACTTTTTAAAAAAAATTCACTTAAAAACTTAACAAGTGTAAATTAAGTTAATCCAATTACAATATTGGGAGTTTTGGAGTTGTAACAACAGTATAAATGAGTTACACGTGGATGCACTGATAAACAACGACACTGTTAAGATTACAGGTGCAGTCAAGTGTCAAGTGACGTACACATACACATACATATACTTGTACACATATAACACAACACAGTGTGTGACATCAGTGACGCGCAACACGCTTAGCTACTATACGGTAAGTAGGAACTAAGTGTGTAAATGAGAGAGAGGGTGGCTGTAAATGAGTAAAGAGTAATGAATGTAATGAATGAGCGTCGGAAAGTAATGCAAATTTTTTTTATTGCGATTATGTAATTTATTAATGATAAAACAGTGTGTAAAACATTTGTATGGATGTATAGTGTTTGTATGTATGTATATATAAATTTGTGAGTGAGAGTGAGAGTAAGTCCGATGAAAGAGCGCGAGAGAGATGAATGTAAATAGATGATATATAGGAGTGGGAGAGTAGAGGGTCCAGTGGTTGTATTTCAACACAGTTGCGTCTCGGATCAGGCTGGGTTGAACATTGTGGGTAGGTTAGTTCAACGTGTATATTTAGTTAGCCGTCCTGCGCGCGGTGGAGTGCGTGTTGCTGCGATAGTTGCCGTAGGTGCAGTGCGCGGAATACTTCACCCCACTCCCCTGCCACTGAGCCACCACCACTCGTGCCACCACCACCACCGTTCCAGCCGCCACCACCAAGGTGACTTTTCGAAGCTTCTCCGCTCGGCTAACACATACACCCTCCGACCCTCTGTGACCGAACCGAGCTCCCAAAACGCTCGAGATCTGAGGATTCAATGACTTTTTCATGCGCAGTAACACCAACAAGTCTGGATATCCCGCGTCGAAGTCATTTTCATGCTATTTTTTTTTTTTTTCTTACGCTGTGAAGGAAATTTTGTGATGAAAACTTTTTTTTGAGGATTATTAAAAATTTTTTAAGCGCCAAGATGGACGATTGGGGTTTAAGAATAAAGTTTTTTACTAACTATGACAATTTTTATTTTGTTAATCTCTAAAACCTGTTTTAGTCGATGAGAATTCGTTTTATAGCGTAATTCTCGGCATTCTACGGATTTTTGTGGAAACAAAAATAAATTAAATGTTCATTTATGTTTGAAAATAATTAACGAGAGGTATTTTTTAAAACTAATTATGAAAAAAAATATTTAAGGACTAGCAATACCTTGCAGTCACTATGTCACTGCCGTGACTTGTGACATATAAATAAGTAAAATTTTGCTTTATTAAATAATGACTTTTGTTAAATTGCACTGTATTTTTTTAACTATTGAAGTTTTTAAAGGTATAAGCTCATCCCGATGTTACACTAATCAAGAGCTTTCATTTGAGTACCCACATGCATTTTGATATATTTTTCATATATACATATATATCAAATATATAAATATATGAAAAATTGATGTGGGTACTTGAATGAAAAGTCTTGATGAATGTAACATTGGGATGAGCTTATATCTTAAAAAATGTCATTAGTTTACAAGATACAAGGTCATTTGTTAATTATGTTAAATTGCACTGTACATTCTTAAATATTGACTTTTTTTAAAAATATAAGCTCATCCCGATGTTACTCTCATAAAGAGCTTTCATTTGAGTACCCACATGCATTTTGATATATTTTTCATATATATATATA